CCCACCGCACGCTCTGGTCCCGCCCACCGCACGCTATGGCCACGCCCATAAGGCACTCTAGCCCCGCCCGCCGCGCTCGAGGCTCCGCCCACCACGCACTTAAAGGCGGCCAGGGCCTGAGGGCCCCGGGCCGGCAGGGACGCACGCGTGGCCCAGCGGACGTCGTTCTGGCAGGGAGGGCCCGGGGTCAGGCAGACATACCTGGGGCTAAGGGTCGCCCCCAGGGTGGGGGATGGGGTCCCTACTGGGCATGCTCAGTCGAGGGTCCCGCTGTCGGTAACGGCTTGGGGCGCAGCCTTGGCGCCCAGCGGAGGGAGAGGGAGGCCAGGAGTCTCCCCTCGGAATACTATGGAAAAATACCAGGTGCCGCGTTGTCCCCTGGCCGGGAGGCGGGAGCGACGAGGGGCCGACGGTCAGGGGCGACCCCAGGACCTGGACCTTCTGCCACCACCCCCAGCCCCCTACTGGTTTAACGGCCACAGCCCCGGGACAGGCAGCCAGCAGCCAGGTCCGACCCCAGGGAGGCAAGGGACCCGTGTTCTGGCCAAGTTCTGCTTCCAGCTCGTAGGGTGACCTCGGGTACCTACAAAGGTGACCTCCTGAGTCCTCGTTGCCTCTCTGGGCCTCATTTTCCCCCTCTCTAAAATGATGGACGAAATTAAGGACTGTCCAGCCCCGTCTGTCTGAATATTTGAGGATGGAGACAACTCCATCCTTCTCGCCCATAGGTCGGTGTGCTCGGGTCCGTGGAGACAGAACACCCTACGACGTCCAGAATTCAGAATCAGGAGCCCCCAAACTGCTAAAACACCCGTCAGTAGTCTCTGGTAGGGGGACTTGGGCCTTGTACAGGGCCCATGAAAATGTTTGGGACTTGAAAAATTCACAAAAGGACAGCTGCAAAATAAAAATGAATGAATGTTTAATTAAATGCTTCTATGCATAATGTGTCAACTTTATTAAATGTTAGACTCAGTCTTTGTAAAAATTTCATTAAGTTGAAAATAATTTGTAAGTTAGATTTTTCTCACTTTGTGAGAATTTGTTTTGTGTAGGAGGATTGCGGGACCGTCAGCCAGTGGTAAAGCAGGGGAGTTTCTGGTGGCCAAAGAGGTTTTTTCTTTTTTTTTTTTCTGTGAGGAAGATTAGCCCTGAGCTGACATCCACTGCCAATCCTCCTCTCCTTGCGGAGGAAGATTGGGCCTGAGCTAACATGCCTGCCCATCTTCCTCTACTTTATGTGGGACGCCTGCCACAGCATGTCCCGATAAGCGGTGCACCAGTCCACGCCCAGGATCGGAACCGGCGAACCCTGGGCCGCCGAAGGGGATCACACGAACCCAACCACTATGCCACTGGGCCAGCCCCCCCAGAGAGTTTTAAAAGCAAAGTTACTTTTTCAGGAAAAAAAAATAGACTTGATCTGAGACATGGGTGCGTTTTACTGTTTAATTTGCCTCCTAAGAGGACCTAAGCATGTGCGTTCTTACACCAGGTTAAGCTGCTCAGGACGTTGTCCCCATATTCCCTGAGCAGGATCCAGGCTGCCCAAAGGGGCTGGATTACAGAATCCTAAGACTTTTCAAGAGTCCCTGGATTCAGGGTTCCATCCTTTACGTAACCCTCCTCGGCATCTTGCCCTCCTTCCTCCATTCTCTGACAAAAGTAATCCGATCCTCCACCCTCATCCTGTAGCTCTTGGTCTCTCTGCACAGAGTCCTGGCACGGCCTCCATCTCTCTGCAGGTTTGCCTCAATGCTCAGGCTCCGGAGTGAGACCCCGGAGTTCCAGTGGAATCCGGGCCATCTCAGTTATTAGTGCTGTAGCCTTAGGCCAGGACCTAGCTCCTTGTGCCTCAGTTTCCTCCAATGTGAACATGGAGCTAGCAATAGTGCCGACAGCATGGGGTGGCTGTAAAGTGCTTGGCGCAGTGCCGGGTTCACACATGGCTGACTATGATTGCACCAGTTATGGACCAGTTACTGTCTTGTTTGGATGCCCGATTTGGAGGTGGATGCTGGAAGTTGGGATCATAGGGGGCTGGAGAGAATAAACAAACCCTCTACCCCAGGGATGTGCTGGCTCTTCACTGCCTGTTGGTCTTCGCTGCAGACTGGAGAAGGGGCTTGGGGTGGTGGAAAGAGCTCCAGAATCGGCCCAAAGAGATGGGCTCTGGGTCGGCCCTGTGGCTTAGCGGTTAAGTGCGTGCGCTCCGCTGCTGGCGGCCCAGGTTCGGATCCCGGGCGCGCACTGACGCACCGCTTCTCCGGCCATGCTGGGGCCGCGCCCCACATGCAGCAACTGGAAGGATGTGCAGCTATGACATACAACTATCTACTGGGGCTTTGGGGGAAAAATAAATAAATAAATAAAATTATAAAAAAAAAAAAAGAGATGGGTTCTGGTTCCACTTTCAAACGGCTTCTCAGCCTTCTGAGCCATTTCCTTCATCTGCAGAATGGGCCAGAGATGCATGCTCTGCCAGCCTGCAGGGGAAGTTAGGAGGGCCAGAAAAGGCATTGGAGTTGGGCACCCTTTGGAAAGTGAAGAGCTGTGTGCATTTCCTGAAAGCTTCTCTCTCTCTTGCCGGTAGATTTTGGATGAGCTGAATCCTGGGGCCTTGGGGGTGAACCTGGTGGTAGAGGAGACAGAAACGAAAGTAAAGCATGTGATAAAGCAGGTAAGAGGCCCCGTCTGAGGCACCCAGTGGGGATGGTTCCCCGACATGCACTCATCATCCCCACGTTAGAGAAAGGCTTCCTGATGCAACAGCTGGATTCCTTTCCACCAGCAGTCATGGAGGCAAATCCGGTCAGGGGTAGACGTGGGGGGTGACATGAGGCTCCTCAGGCTTCCCTGCACACTTGACTCTCTCACCTTGATGGAGAAGGAATGCTCATTTTCACCCTGACAACAACCACAACCATACCTACTGTTGAAAAACAAAATTCGACTCAGTAAATTTGAAGATCTAATTGGGTTTATCAAATGATTCCTGAATCGGTCATCTCATGTAGCAAGCAGAGAGATATGAGGAATTATACAAAATGGAAGGCTCTGGGGCCGGCCCGGTGGCATAGTGGTTAAGTTCTCTCGCTCCAATTCGGTGGCCTAGTGTTCACGGGTTGGGATCCCAGGTGTGGACCTACACACTGCTTGTCAAGCCATGCTGTGGCAGTGACACATAGAAAATAGGGGAGGACTGGCACAGATGTTAGCTCAGTGACAATCTTCCTCAAGCAAAAAAGAGGAAGATTGGCAACAGATGTTAGCTCAGGGCCACTCTTCCTTGCCAAAAAAACCCCAAAGGCTTCATAGAAAGGAAGATGGGGCAAGGAAGTTATTAGCAAAGGAAAAATGAAAGTTCATTGAAGGAAAGTAAGAGTTCAGGGTGACGACAGCTTCTCATTGGCTGAGCTGCCGCATTTTCCATTGGCTGGGCTTGTTGCTGGGCAAGAAGAAAATCTTCCTCCTTCCTGGGTAGTAAAATAGAGACACCTTCCTGATAGAGATGCAAGGTACATCTTTTCCTGTTTGGGGTAAATGACAAGATTGGTATGGCATGAGAGCTTCCTCTACAGGCCTTCTTGACTCCAATTTTACTTGAGGTTTCCTTTATTAATTTTCATGCTACCATTTATTCAGTGTATACTTTGTGCCAGGCGTCATCTCGTTTAATCTCTGCCAACCCTGCAAAGCAGGAACCATGACCCTGCTTTACAGCCAAGGATAGGGAGGCTTGGGGAGGCTGCAGACTAGCCAGCATTATACAGTTCCCAAGACCGTTTGAATGCAGGCCACCTCACTGGGGGCCGCCAGTTTTACCAAAGGGGAGCCAGGCCCGGGGAGGGGAGGCAGGGACTTACCCAGGGTCAGTCAGGGCTAAGGGCCGGACACAGAGCCCTGGGCCCTTCACCACCTCCTCACCAGGGCTGGAATGGCAGGGTAGGGTACAGACCTGCAGGGAGACAACACTTTGTGTGTCCAAGTCAGGGTAGTGCAGATGAACAGAGGGTCTAGGGGAAGAGAGCTGCCCTAAAGGCGTCCCTGGCACTCTCTCATGGTGTGCAGTGGTGGCCAGGATACGACAGGATCGGGGCTGACCGTGCAGGTGGAAGAGGCTCACTGGCGGCCACTACCTGTGTGGCAGCTCAGCAGCCCTCTACCCAAGTCCTGGCCTCGAATCCTTACCCACCTCCTACCCCATGGCTGGCCGGCTGTGGGGCTGGCCGGCTGTGGGGCTGGCCCCATCATCTCACAGGCCAGCGGGGCAGGACGGCTGACTGCCTTCTGGGCAGTCAAGGATCTTTTTAAAAAGCCAATCAATGTTTCTAAAAAAAAAAAAAAACAAAACAGATGCGAGTGGAGTGCAGGTAGGGGTTTGTGTATCCTTCCAGTCTTTTTTCTAAGCATTTATAAATGTCTTTGTTTTTACAAGAATACTGTTGAGGTTGATACATACTTTTTCCCACTTTGTGTGTTGCGAACATCATTTTGTGCCACTGACATGGCTACTTCCTCTCCTGGCTCTGGTGGCTGCGTGGCCCCAACCTGCTTGATGTGCTGTAATTGATGCAACCTATCCCCTTGTGTGCAATAAGCACTTAGCTTGTTCTCGATTTTTCACTCTGTATAAACAACTCTGGTAAACAACTTATAGTTAATTTTTTTGAGGATCCTTGATACTCTTGGGATAAATTCCAAGGGGTGGGATTTCTAGGTTGAAAGATGTGACATTTTTAAGGCTTTCAGTATGTTTTGGCCAGATTCACCTAAGCATGAGCCCCCTGAAATGGGAGGAAGGGCAGACAGGCAGACTCACTGTGCTGGGGTCTTGACCTGGATCTGGTGGATCTGGGGGATCCAGGTCAAGTGGATGGAATAGTCCACTAACTCTGCATTTTCATCTAAGATCACCCCAATTACAAGAGTTCTTCGTTTGTAGGTCTTGTTAGCAGAAGTTCCGGGTAAGGATCTGGTTTTAGATGATGTGATAATATGTACCCACAGTCTTTGCCACCAAGTGTGCTGCAGATTCAAAGCTCAGTGCTGCCCTTATCACCACCCTTCCTTCTTCCATGCATTCCCCCACTGCTCAACATTCAGTGACAGGGACAGTCTTCTCAATTCAGATAAGGAATGAAGTGGTGAGGCTGATACTTTGCCAACCAGAGCAGAGCTGTTTGGCTCTGGAGGCAACACATTATTTTCTTCCCTGCTTTCAAGATGATCTGAAAATGGATCCTTTAATGATTCCTTGGACTTTATATTATGCTATCCTAAACTTATCCTTGCAACAGGAGCAAAGAAGCTCTCATTGCCCAAAGTATTTTTATATCCTTGCCTTAGGAACACCTCCGGGCTCCATCTGGTGCCATATGGTGGGGCATGAATGGTAGAGCCTGGCACTCCTGGTGAATAATGATGGTGATGATGATGATGGTGGTGGTGATAATGGTGATGGTGATTATGATGGTGATGGTGGTGGTGGTGCTGATGATAGTGGTGGTGAAGGTGATGATGGTGATGATGATGATGGTGATGGTGGTGGTGGTGGTGGTGATGGTGGTGGTGATGATGGTGATGATGGTGGTAGTGTTGATGGTGGTGGTGGTGATGGTGGTCATGGTGGTGGTGGTGATGAGGATGGTGGTGATGGTGGTGGTGGTGATGGTGATGATGGTGGTGGTGGTG